CCAACTGTGAAGTGTTTGGAATTCAGTATAGAAAATAAATTGACCACCAATTAAGTACCAAAAAAATTTTTTTTTAATCATTTTTACCATTGTTATTTAAAGAAATTTTGATAACGTAGTACTAAGATATGAATACTGATCACAAGCTTTTTTCACGGGAGTGAAAAGTTATGATAATGTATCATGTTGTAAACGAGCAATGCTTTAATTTTCAATCAATTCACAGATTGTATGTTAATAGATTAAGTTTTTAATTTAATTTCCCAAAAATTATCACAAAATCTGAAGTCATTTTAGTATCCTATTGCTAAATACAGGGTGATAGTTAAAGTTTTAGATTTAACCATACACGCACATTAAAAATACCTTGACATTTCACTGTTACACCTAACTAGGTTTATATTATTTTGGAGGATCCAAAAATAAATTTTACCTCAATAAAGTCCTACGATAATAATGACTAACCTCATTTAGAAAAATTCCTGCAATTTCTTATCAGTCTGATAAGAAGTGCGCAATTGTCCGTCCTAGGTACAGCTTAGGTGACATATTTGGTGGATGATTCGTTAGGAACTCATTAAGTTTTGCCATTAGTTAAGGCCAAATACTGTCTGATTGTGTATCAGTGCAAGTGATTCAATGGACACTTGGCGATAAAGTCCAAAATTATGCAAGAAAGTAGTTAGGTTCCTACTATTTCGCATCCGGCAATTATGTGAATCATCTCTCCGAGATAAATATTGAAATTGATATTGAAAAAACTTATTGTCAGACCGGGGTCCATAATCATGTTAGTAACAATTTTCACTTAGCCTATGTTAAAATAATGATTATAAAATGATTAAAAATGTATTTTCATAATTATGTACGATTCGTACTTGAAATGAAAAAAAATATGCAATGATTGTTTACGGCATACTTACCTAATTACTTTACCTTTCATGTCCAACTTATTTACCTATATAAAAAGTATGAAATAAAATTTATAAAGTAATAAAAAGTCGTTTATTTGCTGCAAAATATACTTAGGCTTTTAAAAAGCACTGTTACAAGTCCACCACAGGTAGGGGACGGATTTACCAGCAGGTTGAGTAGGCTGAAGCCTAGGGCGGCAAATTTTAAGGGGCGGCAGATATACAAAATAAAAATAAAAATTAAGGTAAGTACGCACACAAAACCCCCCAGAGCCTACAGGCGGCAAATCTGTAAATACGATACTGGTATGAAAACAATCCAGGTATCCTTCCGTTTGGCCAAATTACTTTTCGCCAAATTTCACTTCGCAAACAACTTATCGCCAAAGTTTCATTTCCCAAATGAACTTTTAGCAACTGTACTTTTCGCAACTAATTCATTTGGTCAAATTATCATTTGGAAAAATTTTACTTGGCAAATTTTTATATAGCAAATGTTTTATTTTGCCAAATATTATATCCCAAATAATTTGTTTGGTCAAATTGACACTTCACATACTTACCCACCGTTACCCACAAATCAAAGAATAAGGCAGATTGGTTTTCACAAGAATTTTATGTAAAACAAAGAGATTGCAGAAAATAGTATGGTTGCAGAAAGTAGGTATCGCAGAAAATAGTAGGTTAGGTTAGGTTAGAACAGTGACCCTTAACGCGCGAAGGCGAGCGAAGCGTGCCGCGGCAGCGGCCGCCGAGCGCTAGAATCACCTCTATTGTGTAATGAATCATTTGGAAATTTCGATAAAAAGAATGAAATATGAAAATTAATTTAGAACAAATTTTATATTATCTACCCACTATACAAAATAATAACCACAAGCTAATTTGTAGTCCATTCTATGCGACAATCAAATTATTTTGTAAATAGTTTATCGTGAAATATTTTTGCCAAATGAAACATTTGGCAAAACATACTTTGCCAAACAATAATTTGCTAAACAATAATATGCCAAAAACGACATTTGCGAATTAAAAGTTTGCAATAAGTTGTTTTGCCAAATGAGAATTTGCCAAATGAAAATTTGCGAAACGTTGTTTGCGATGTAATAATTTGGGAAACGTTTTTTGGCCAAACATTAGTAATCCAAACAATCCAATTATCATAATTTAATGTAATTTTTTTTTCAAAATACAAAAGTAATGTTTCCCGCTGCACTTATTAAGCGCAAGTAGAAAGATATGGTGATCGATTTGCTGCGTTTGCAGAATTTGACGGAGGCAATAAATGTAGGAAGTAACTCTAGGTTGACCGCCGATCTGGTGAACGTCGCTAGAAGAACTTGGATGCGGACAGCGCATTACCGGTGGTTATGGTTATCCTTGGGGGAGGCCTTTGTCCAGCAGTCAAAGTCAAAGTCAAAATTTCTTTATTTGCTTAGACTAATAAATAGTTCTTACAAATCGTCATATGCTCTTAAGGAGCCTCTACATGTCTCATAATCTTTTTACCCTACCAGCGCTTCGAGACCAACATTTGGCAAGTGCTGAGAAGAAGCGCCGCAACAAACTCAGTCACCACTGTCTGCCGTTTAATATAAATAAATAGAAATAGTAGTAGTAGGTACATTCGATTCAAGAGCAGTTCACTGAATTTACCATGCATTCTTGTATGGTGGACAGTACAGTGGACGTCATTTGGCTGAAACGAACGAACGAAATGTAGAAAGTGCGATAAACATAATTTTCAAACATAGTACTCCGCTATGGCTAGATCAATGGTGTAATTTTTGATAAAATATCACAATATCACTAATCCTGCTTTTATCACACTGCCATCACCGGCTTACTCATCACCTATGACCTAACCGGATAAGCCGCACCACCTCGTTATCAACACGACTACAATGCATTTCCCAGGGCACGGACAAAAAGACTAAGGCTTGTCGGATAGAGATTATCAGGTGATTGCAACAATGACATTCTTTAAAATTGACCCATGCCCTGTTCTTACGCAACCAAGGAAAAGTTATATCTCATCATAGAAGATTAAGTTATTCACCTTTTGTGTAATTAGGTGTGTCACATGGGATCCTCGATGGCTTATAGTGGACTGGCGCGGTATTGGAATTAATAATTTACTTAAATTGGCATTAAGTATTTTCTAAAACAAGACACATGTCAGACAACCAAATAAATTAAAAATATAATAAGTAATTAAACTTTAGTTTGACAATATTACATACAAACAAAAACCAGAGAAATAGGGATGTTTCCTGGGTATAAAAGCAAGAGTTATAATTAGTCCGTCAGTTAACTTATCAAAAAATACTCTATACGTATTTTTCACTTTTTCAAACTAATGAAAAAATTAAAGAGATAAAGCGCGCCAAAGTTCAAAAGAAGAGGTCCGTGACGTCAATGAGTACTTAAAAGTGCAGCACTTTGTGACGTCGCGCGGAACTTCAACGCACCATAACTTTGTAATTATTTGTTTGATTGACAAATAAAAATATACAAGTCCAATATTTATCGATTATAAACATGACGGACTAAAAAAAAATCTTTAGGAAACTAGCCTATTAATAATTTTCCAACTCTCTATCAGTGCGCTTTGACTAATGTGCTCCGTTCCCATAATTTTGCTCATCTTTCTCGAATGAAGATATCAATTTTCTTACTTCACCATACCATTTATATCACCATGTTAACTTGGGCTAGTGTCGGCTCATATACCCATTTACCTAACACCCTGTAAAGCCACGATAGCCGAATGGTGAAGGGGTCGGACTGGCTAACTCGACATTCGAGGAACGCGGGTTCTAACTTCGCCGTCGCTGCTCGACTAGTAAATGAGCTTAAAGCTTATTTAGTAACTTGAGAACAAATGATGAGAGCAGTCGCCCGGAAAGCGAAAGGTCGTGGGTTTGATTTCTACCGCATGCAATTCTATTTTTTTAATTTATCTAAAATTTATTTTTTGTTTCAGATGAGACTCTTAATGCTAGTAAATTAACTATGTTTAGCTTAGAAAGAGGGGCGGCTAACGAGATTTTAATAATTTGTAAAAAAACTCCTACTTTAAAAAAAAAAACGAAACAAAAGGCAGAATACTATTATTCCATATTCATAATAGAGTATTTAAAAACTAATGTAATATGTTGCTAGTTCTTAAAATAATAAGTTTTAGTAGTTATGAAAATAGTGAACTTGACAACAGCGTCAAAATTCTATTCAATTAGTCATAATTGCTATCTTGAGATTGGTTAATTACTCAAAAAGAAAGTTCCTACTTAGAATCTATTTTTTTAATACTTATCATTTATAAAACTAAAGTCGTGTTATTACACTATAAATAGAACGGCTGGACAGATTTTGATAAAATTTGGTATGAAGGTAGCTGACATCCTGTATAAATAATAAAAGTACGCTACATTTTTCTTACCCAAAAAGAGGGTAGTGTTTTTAATGTAAACTAAACTGCGGATAGTCCGCTACGCAGTAGGTAGGTGCCATCTCAATGACAACAACCATTGTGTGTACGAAGTTTGCTGGCGTGCTCTGGCAGCAGGCTAGTTATAGCCTGACCAGGAACATAAAAACCCTCGCCATGTTGCGGAAAATTAATGGTACTAATTTCTTTTAATGGCAACATTAACTGAAAACTTCATTGACATGTCATCTTGCATGTCAGTCTAATTGCTCTCAAAGTGTAAACAAACTTTATTTTAAATGTGCGCAATTGATTTTGTGAATTAAATTGCTAAAATCTTTTTATAGTCGTGAAAGAAAAGTGGTTCACAATGTGTTAAAGTATTTGTCGAAGAGAAATACTAAGGGTTCGGACAATATTTTCATTGAATAATGTTTCCGACAAAGGTTGTCAAATGTTGCACTATCAAATGCAATTGACGCGCCTCTATGCCAGGGTTTTTATGTTCCTGGTCAGGCTATAATGATAAAATTAAATGATGAAAAATGACACAACACATTAATCCGACGAAGAGGTCGAACTTTTGACATAATATTGACATGTCAATAGTAGAATTAAAAATACTTAAGTGGTAACACCATAGATATGTCAAAATAATAGTAGTTTCTGAAGGGTTTCATCTTGGAAAAACCGAAAATTTTGTAAAATCTCCGACATGAAACACGTAAACATGGTGTAGACATAATTTTTATATAGCTAAAGTGCGTTATTCGGCGAAAATGACACCATAAACGCATCGACTGCATTCTTTAACATGTATTTGATATTTAGGTCTTGACAGCTAATAAACCAAATACAGAAACAAAGCGATTATTTTGTGTTTTGTGTAATTTGTACAGCTTTGATAATTGATAATGTTTTCGAAGACGCAAACAAGTAAGGATACGTTTCTGGAGCAGACCAAAGCAGCCCGAGAGGAGCGAGCGCTGGAAAAGAAGAGGGAACAGTCTGCTGTTAAAATACAGGCTCTCGTCAGAGGATGGCTTGCACGTCAGAGATTCATTGCACGAATTTTGTAAGTAATCAACCTATAATGTTGTGTATGATATGGCGACATTCCTTCCCCAATATACTCATCTGTGAGACTTGATTTTACTGATGTAAACAGTTACCTATCAGATGTTATTTTCAGGAATGAATTTGACCAAATTCTCCCAGAAGCAGTAATTCACAGTTCTCAAGATGAAACGCCGCCGACTTTGGACCTGTTGCCAGCTCTGGAAGTGTACCGCGTCACATGTAGATTATTTTTGATATTCAAACAACAACGAGACAGGAAAAGATTTGAGAAACTCTGCAAGTACATCGTGCAAAGTCTGCACTCTGATTCAGTGAAGCTTTCATATGTTGGGGTGTTTCTAAATAAAGAATACAGGTATGATTTTTGTAACTACCTAAAAACATATACATAACTTAGGTTGTCAAAGATAAAAGATTTGCAAAATTCTAATTTGACACCAATACTTAGCTGAGATTAATGTTTATCTGTTACACCATTTCAGTCTAAGATGGATAGCCCATATAAAGGATCTTCTTTACAAATGCTGCATATATCTGGAAGAGCTGAAGCCAGAGTCTCCGCTAGACATGCAGAGTATACTAATCTTCCTACACACACTTGTTGCCTTCACCGCAACAAACACTTGGGCCATTACTCGGCTCAGAAACTTCGAGAAACTCCGTGGAGGCATGACACAGCTGTGTGCAAATGTTATGGGTTCATTGTTCCATAAAGGATATTATTTAACTTTGAAGGTAAATATTTACTAAATTAGTATTAGTATAAATATATGATTATAATTAGATTTATTGGTATGCAACAAATAGGTAATTCATCAGAAAAATATGCCCAATTCTTAGATATGATAGCAAATAGAGATATTATCATATCATACCATAAAGTACTGCTATAACATTTATTATGATAAATGCTACCATGCAACACTACTATGTTCCTACACTATTTAAGACTTTAATGATAATACACCATTTATTATTTTACAGTCACTACTTCTTCGTGGACTCTGTCGAGAAAAAGTGTCACTTAAAAATGTTGCACTGACTGCTATAGTGACACTGTCTTTGCGGCCACTCATCTCAGCTCAGTTCTCGGAGAAACTGCTGACCATGTACATCATCCAAATCCTATCAGTGCCTACACTTGTTTTCCATATGCAGCAGATATCCCCAGAGGTCAGTATCTAGTGTTCAAGAGCAATGTGAGTTTGTTATTGAATCCAGAAAAAATTATGAGGTAAGATTGTTGTTGCGAACTCGTCGAACGTCTGTATATTATTTTTGTTTTTATTTGATTCTGACTAATTTATTTTAGATTTCTTGTATAAACATAACACTCAAAGGCCATTCGTCATTTTGTGGCAAGTTCAAGTGCGGATGGCTATTTGTGACCACTTTTGGTGCTGGCAAGTTAATTTTTGAGACAGTTCTAATATTATTTAACTTTTTAATCCATCAGATTAAAGAAAATCATTATTAATTAAATTATAAGTTATGAAACCTGAATTAATTAATGAATATTACAAGTAACATATTTTCCTAGTATGCATTTATTTGCTTATCAGTCTTGTTTGGCATTTAATTAGTTTCGCAAATGTGATAGTGCAATAGCGTAGCTCTTGACCTGGATACAAGTGGAAGTTAAATAGTGGCTTATCAACACAGGTCAGTGACATTCAGGGCAAGGAAATACATTCATTATAGTAAATGCAAAATTAGAACTAGACACTAAAACCAAGCATTAACTACTTTTAGATGTCACTGAACTGTTCAACCTATCATTGTTATAAGTTGTTAAGTGAAAGACACAGTTAAAGCAAACCTGCCACTTGATGGGACCATCTGGTGGAGGTCGCACATAAATGTGGATATCCACAATGGGATATCCTTGAGTGAGATACTTGAAAGTTGCCAATATTGGTTTTCCAATGTACTGTATGTTTCTTTCTAATAAATAAAAACTTTATTCCTTGCAGTCCATGGCGGTATTCCGCACGTACGGCATGTTCGACAAGTGCGTAGAGTTCCTGAGTGCGGACCAAAACATGCGCATCGTGTTCAACACGCTAGAAGGCAACTACGCCTTATGTCTGCTAGCTAACCTCGTGCAGCTGGCCCATTGTGAGCGGGAGCACGCGTTGCCCGACACCTACTACCCTACCTTCGTGGTCAGTATACAAGTTAAAGCCCGGTATGTGAGCACGTAGAATTTTGTCCAATGACCCCAAGCTACCCATCCTTATCGCTCGCGCGTAATTATATTGCTGTCGCGACTGTGCGACGGGCGCCCGCAGTGAGTGTGCGAGCGCGACAGCAACATAATTACGCGCGAGCGATTAGGATGGGTAGCTTGGGGTCATTGGACAAAATACTACGTGCTCACAGACCAGACTATAGTTCCTGAGTGCGGACCAGCATGCATTGTGTTCAACACGCCAGAAGGCAACTACGCCTTATGCCTGCTAGCTAACCTCGTGCAGCTGGCCCATTTTGAACGGGAGCATGCGCTGCCCGACACTTACTACCCTACCTTCGTGGTGAGTATACAAGTTTTGTAGTTCCTGGGGGGTCGTAATCGGTACGGGACTATTCCCACCTCTCTTTCCCACCACTGCAACTCCTGTGTAGCCAGGATCTACAGCTTGACCGCCAATAAAACCCCAACCAATGAAGGTCAAGTTTGTCCTGGGGGAAAGTTAAACTGTCATTGGACTCGCAACGAAATTAATCAGAAGAACATAGGAGTTCGAAGTTAAGGTTTGACTTCCCTCCGTTGCAGTACCTCGGTCGTAATCGGTAGCCCAATATCCTGGGGTGGGCCGTGAGGGTATTTACGCGCATGACTATACCTATGCGATTTTACACACCATGCCGTAGCAGCAGCGCCACCCGCCGCGAGCGCAAATACAAACTCAAATAAAACTAGTGCACGGAGTGCTGCATAGTTTGTAAATACGCTATGTGTTGACGACCAAAGATACCTACCACGTTTACGTTAGTTTTCGCTACTGGTCACCCTACTCGTCCAAGCACTGCTTTCGGAGATTGGCAAATCACATGTCGTGGCATTTGACATAATATTGGCGAGTGGTGACTTAGATTCATGTAAGGACTTGATTTCTAACATAAAAACTAACAATGAATTTATTGCCTACAGCTGGTAGTGACCCGGTTCCTCGACTCATGCCAGCAATACGTGGTCTGCAAGAAAGGCAACCTCAGCAACTGGCATCCGGTATTGGGCTGGTTCTCGCAAAGTTTCGACGCGTATCTGCCACAAGCAATGGGAAACTTGCGGACACAACTATCTCTATTGTGGGGAGCTCCGATGCTGAAGAAGATACTGGCGCAGCCGCTGAAGGTATGTACCAGCTTCCTAGCAAGAAGATGAACTATAACTGCCCTCCTGTACTGGGCTGGTTCTCGCAAAGCTTCGACGCGTATCTCCCGCAAGCGATGGGCAACCTGCGGACACAACTATCTCTCTTATGGGGAGCTCCGATGCTGAAGAAGATACTCGCGCAGCCGCTGAAGGTATGTACCAGCTTCCTTGCAAGAAGATGAACTATTTCTTGCAGCTGGTACTGGGCTGGTTCTCGCAAAGTTTCGACTCGTATCTGCAGCAAACGATGGGAGACTTGCGGACACAGCTATTGCTGTTGTGGGGAGCTCCGATGCTGAATAAGATACTGGCACAACCGCTGAAGGTATGTTTGAGCTTGTTGACAAAAATAATAAGCATAAATGGCACCCGGTATTGGGCTGGTTCTCGCAAAGTTTCGACGCGTATCTAGCACAAGCAATGGAAAACTTGCGGAAATAGCTGTCGCTGTTGTGGGGAGCTCCCATGCTGAAGAAGATACTGGCGCAACCGCTAAAGGTATGTGGTTGACAAGAAGAGTAATATCGACTGGCTGATCTAGATTTAGGGTGGGTGCCCTAGGCTGAGTACTGAGGTACTTTACTTATTTACATTATTTCTTTAAATACATTTAAATATTATGAAGTTAGAAGTGGTTTCAATAACCCAACAGTCAACAGAAATCGAACTAACAACATTCGAATCGTCAGTCTGATAGCAACAGCGTTGGACTATTTCTGCATTGAATTTTTGCATGATTAATATTACTAATAATTATATTTTGGTTGCAGGAGATGCTAGACGCTGGCGTAACAGGCGAGGAAGGTGCAGGTCCCTCACAACCCTCTACTCCAGTCCAGAGCAACAACCCCGCCGCCATTATCCGACGCGCCATCGAGGCTAGGACTAATCGGTACGTCATTATCATCATCATCATCATCATCAACAGCCCTTTACAGTCCACTGCTGGACTATGAGCCTCCTCCACTATAGTAGAGGGTTTTGCCATAATCCCCACGCTTGGCAGGCGGATTGGAGATCGCAGTTTAAAAGATTTATGTTTGTCAGAGAGCGCTGCTGCCCGTTCTTTGTTTGATGTGTAGTCCCTAAGTCGCCTCTTACGACACCCGCGGGAAGAGTAGGGGCTGGTGACAAATGTATTCTACTCTGCCGTCACCACACGGCCGATCATCATCATCATCATCATTCTACTAATATTATAAATGCGTAAGTTTGGATGTCTGGATGTTTGTTACTCTTTCACGAAAAGACTACTGAACAGATTTTGATAAAACTTAACAATATTATTGTTTATAACCCAGAATAACATATAGGCTATAATTTATGACGATATGTGACAACAAATGAAATTTCACGCGGGTGAAGCCGCGGGAAAAAGCTAGTCATCTATAATTTTTACCAGCTGAAGCAACTAAGTCCACTGTTGGATACTCGATTACTGAATATGCGTTTCCTTTTTTCCTTCCATGCTTTTTTTTTTGGCGCCCGCTCAGCAAAAATATGGCTGTCATTTGACCTTTATTAAACGTTTCCATTGTTATAGGGCCAGTTCGAACAAGAACTACAGAAAGCTGGGGTCCCCAGACTGCACTAAAGCGGCGCTCATCTGCTCCATGTACCACACCGCGCTGCAGACCATGAAGCAAGTGCGGCTCGATATACTCACCGGTAAGGAAAATAATAAACTGTTATTAGATATAGTCTGGTCCGTGAGCACGTAGAATTTTGTCCAATGACCCCTAGCTACCCATCCTTATCGCTCGCGCGTAATTATGTTGCTATCGCGCTCGCACACTCACTGCGGGTGCCAGTCGCACAGTCGCGACAGCAATATAATTACGCGCGAGCAATAAGAATGGGTAGCTAGGGGTCATTGGACAAAATTCTACGTGCTCACGGACCGGGCTTTAGAGTTGGAAAGCATAATTTACTGCTACAGTAATTTGCGGCGTAGATGAAGATACAGAAAACGAGTAAAGCTTCGGTCAAACCAATGCGTTCAGCTTGTGTCCGCGATAGCGTGCACGGTGGCGATCAGATGTCTATGAAGTATGAACTTGTAGCAATGACTGTGTGCATGACGCGTCCTGTCATTGGCCACGGCGATCGCGCTTGTTATTTTGACGTTTCTAACTAACGCCCAGCCCATTGGTTGGGTTTTTATGGTGGTCAAGCTGTAGATCCTGGCTACACCTGGATCATCACCTGGACATCCTGGAACGAGAAATGGGAATAGCCCCGTAACTACGCCCAGCAATGCTAGCTAAAAGGGATCATATACTGTTTTTTTTTCCTGACACAAAAATAATTGTTTCTAACCAAATTATGGACTACTTTTGTCTGAAAATAAATGATTTTTATTTTTTATTTATTTTAAAAATAAGGTCTATAGTCTATAGTAAACCTAATCTAATATTATTTTTCTATACAGGCTTATGCAACCAAGACGAGATACTGTACTCGTTATGGCAGTTCCTCTGCACCCTGGGCCCTACCTGCGGGTTAAAATCATTCCTGGACCTCCTGGCCGTCAACACCAAGACGTCCGCGCCCGAGTTCCAGATGCTGATACTATTCACAGATTGCATGACGCACTACGTCACGTGAGTGTGCTGATTGTGTTAATTTATAGTTTGGACATGGTAATTGAAAAATTACTATCGAAATATTGCTTGAATGAAACTTATCTGAAAATTAATACCTACTTCAAGGTCCAATCTATCTGTATACCAAAATTAATCTAGTTTGTTTCGCCTGATAGCGGCTTGGTTGTGCAACGTTGCTGACAGTCGAAAATGTGCTATTTGGTAGCTCAAGCCCATGGTATCTTAATGAGATTGCGTATTTTTACGTAACGTATTAGTACGTCGGCCGTTTGGTGTAGTGGTTTAGAACGGACTACTATTCCAAGAGGTCCCGGGTTTGATTCCCGGCCGGGCAGAAATTGAAATGATGAATTTTAATTTCTGTGACGGGTCTGGGTGTTACTATGTTTAATATGTATGTATTTACAAAAAAAAAGTATTTAAGTATGTTTATATCCGTTGTCTAGTACCCATAGTACAAGATTTGCTTAGTTTGGGACTAGTGGCGCAGTGTAAAATGTCCAAGGATATTTAAGTATATGTATTAAGTTTAATGTATTTGAGCGTTAAGAGAAACAGAGTTCCGTTTCAACCGAGAAACGTCTACTGCTGGAGGAAGGCCTGCATTGTCCACATGCAGATAGTCATGTACAGACGACGACACGTTAAGAGAGCTAAACCTCTGAGATCTTATGTTTGTTGCAATAGGAACGAGTTCGCTATAGAGGTAAGAAGAATAAGAATAAATAGAATAAATTTATTACTTAATAAAACTTAGCTTAGCTAGATACATTTGATTTCACTTACTTAAATTAAGGTTAGTGTGCGAAGGTAAAATTATTAATACCTAAACTAAGCAAAATTGTTTGCCTGTGTCTTAGGTATTTTATTAAAAGTAGGTTAGTGCATACTAAACATTATCACAATAACAGTGTGTAACTAAATATAAATACATTTCTATTCTTAATTACTAAGCATTATTTTTACCTTGATCTAAATTAAGTTAAAATCTGTAACAGGTTTTCAGTTTCGTCATAGGTTTTATTTTTTAGCCAATCTTGTATGATTTTTTTGCATGCGACTTTATTCATAGGGTAAATACATAGAGACTGGTTTATTCTATTGTACAATAAGCTACCTAGATAACAGAAGAATTTCATCGTATGTGATCTTCTGATTTGTTCAGTAGAACACACGATATCAGCTCGTCGTTTGCTGGTTTGGAGTGCCGGGTTGTAGGGTGTTAATGAATGTTTTTTAGTAACTGTTAGTAGGATGAAGAGCTGCCGCACCGAAAGAACGTCGCATTCAGCAAGGAGCTCTGCAGTCGGAAAGCGTATAGGTCGGAAAGTGCTGACTTTTAGAACGGCTCTTTGTGCTCTCTCTAGACTAAGCATTGTGGTTTTATGAGTACCTCCCCATGAAGTTATGCAGTACGTTAATAATGACTGACATAGAGTTAAATATATCGATTTAAGAAGATAGCCGCTTGCGACGTGTCGGAGATTCTTAAAAACATAAATCAATTTTCTCACTCTAGCTGTAAGTGACTCGATGTGCGTTTTAAAATTTAAGTGTTTATCGATAATGACACCTAGGTACTTCATATTATCTGTGCTACGGAGCTTAGGGCATGTACAGGAGTCAGTACGGTCCGGGCACAGATGAGCTGTTATGGTATGTGTGTCTGGAATGGGTTGGGATATTGAATTAAAGGAAAATGTCATATATTTTGTTTTGTCGATGTTGAGTGTTAGTAAGTTATTTCTAAGCCACTCGGTGACCAAATTGAAACCCGTTTGAGCTAATTTGAATGTTTCTTCCCAGGTGTCTGCGCTAATAAGTAGTGCGGTGTCATCAGCATAGGATATTATCTTTGCGTTTCCGGCAAGAGGAAGTTGGCATAATTCATTGATATATGTGAGGAATAATAAGGGACCCAATATACTTCCTTGTGGGACACCAAATTCGACAGTGAGTTCGTCACTAACTGCATCATCTACCATGACACGTTGTGTCCTTTTTGAAAGATAATCTTTAATGAGTTTATGCGAAATTCCTCTTATTCCCAGTTCGTATACCTTCTCGAGAAGTATGTTTTGCGAGACTGTATCGAAAGCTTTAGCAAGGTCCAGGAAAATGACTAAGCACTTTTTTTGAGCGTCAAGTTGTCTTATAATGTAGTCAGTGACTTGGTGTACTGCGTCGTCTGTTGACCTGTTAGATCTAAAGCCATATTGGGTGTCTGCTAGAAGTCTGTTTTTCTCTAGGTATTCCACAAGTCTGTTGTAGATAAGTCTTTCTAAGATCTTAGAGATTGAAGGTAGTATAGCAATGGGGCGATAATTATTGACGCAGTTTTTATCTCCATTTTTATGTATAGGACGAATTAGTGCCCTTTTCAATACATGAGGAAACGTTCCTGTAGACAGACATTTATTGAAAATATATGTAAGCGGAGGAATAAGATGCTTTTTGAATTGTTTAAGAAATGAGCAAGATATGTTATCAATTCCTGTGGCACAGTCATTTCTCAGAGACATGATGAGTTGTTCAACTTCGGCTTCGTCAGTGTCAAGTAGGGCAAATGAGTTCAAAACAGGTAATTTAGGAAGATACTTGGTGTAGGAAATAGGTTGAGTGAGACTGACACCAAATTCGACAGTGAGTTCGTCACTAACTGCATCATCTACCATGACACGTTGTGTCCTTTTTGAAAGATAATCTTTAATGAGTTTATGCGAAATTCCTCTTATTCCCAGTTCGTATACCTTCTCGAGAAGTATGTTTTGCGAGACTGTATCGAAAGCTTTAGCAAGGTCCAGGAAAATGACTAAGCACTTTTTTTGAGCGTCAAGTTGTCTTATAATGTAGTCAGTGACTTGGTGTACTGCGTCGTCTGTTGACCTGTTAGATCTAAAGCCAAGCCATATTGGGTGTCTGCTAGAAGTCTGTTTTTCTCTAGGTGTTCCACAAGTCTGTTGTAGATAAGTGTTTCTAAGATCTTAGAGATAGGTAGTATAGCAATGGGAAATGCCTGGATGCAAGCGGCGCAGGACCGGTCTTTGTGGAAATCCTTGGGGGAGGCCTTTGTCCAGCAGTGGACGTCTTTCGGCTGAAACGAACGAACGAACGAACGATAGCAATGGGGCGATAATTATTGACGCAGTTTTTATCTCCATTTTTATGTATAGGACGAATTAGTGCCCTTTTCAATACATGAGGAAACGTTCCTGTAGACAGACATTTATTGAAAATATATGTAAGCGGAGGAATAAGATGCTTTTTGAATTGTTTAAGAAATGAGCAAGATATGTTATCAATTCCTGTGGCACAGTCATTTCTCAGAGACATGATGAGTTGTTCAACTTCGGCTTCGTCAGTGTCAAGTAGGGCAAATGAGTTCAAAACAGGTAATTTAGGAAGATACTTGGTGTAGGAAATAGGTTGAGTGAGACTGCTTTTAGCTTTTTCCGCTAAATTTTTGCCAATATTGACAAAGAAACCGTTTACACTATCAAGGGAATGTGCAGCAGAAGCAGAATTAGCGATGAGTTGCTGAGCGGACGATTTATTTTTAGTTGTATTAGTAATGTTTTTGATGACTTTCCACAATTTCTTTTTGTCATGACCTGCATTATAGATTTGAGTCTTTTCATATTGCCGTTTTAACTTTTTTAGTAAATTATTACAAAAATTCCGGTATCTGTAGTAGATTACTTTATGATTTTCATTTCCGGGATTCTGTCTGGATTGTATGTGGAGTTTATCGCGGTGTCTTATACAACGTAGGAGTCCAGGAGTTATCCACGGCTTAAGGACTTTATTACGGCGTTTAGATACAACTGTGCGTGTATTAGTCTTAATTATCCTTGTTAAGGATGATATAAGATATTCAGTCGCATTATTAATATCATGTGTTTGGTATATAGGACTCAGATCTAGGTTATCTAGATCATGTGTCACAGTTTCATAATGCAACTTTGAGCGTTTTACTATTGCGTAGGTTTTATCGTAGCGCCGTTGCAGACACAGCAACAAGGAATTATGGTCAGTCAAGGTTGAGTTTAGTACTAAAGTTTTTATTGGGATGTTAGTCTTAGCTAAAATATGATCTAAGCAATTATCTTTTCTAGTCGGATGTAAATGTGTAGGTAGGTACCCTAAGAATGCTGTAAGGGTAAGGTATTCCGAGGCATTGCGGTCCACATTCCCCGGCTTAATATCGATATTTATGTCTCCCACAACAAATACATTTTTAAAGGAGTTTAATTGTTCTAAAATTACACTAAGTGATTCTAAGAAGTTAGTAATATTATGATTAGAGGGAGAGCGATATATAGCAACTATCGCGGTGTCATTATTTATCTTTGTGATGAGGCAGTTGGCATCTAAAAAGTCAGGTTCCTCTACAGTTAAATTGCTTATGTTACTTTTTATGTACAAAGTGACACCGTCGTTTTGCAATACATTAGTTTTGTTAGTAGAGTGCGATTGGTACCCAGGTATTTGAGGAATAGATGGTGCCGAGGATAACCAGCATTCAGTTAAAACTATGATATCAACGTAGACTTCTATTTGACTTAGTAACGTTAACAAGCCATCAAAATTACAGTTAATGCTACGGATGTTCTGAATAAAAATATTATGACTATGCTTAATATTACTAATGTACGAGGAACACGAGTGAGGGTCACATATTCGTGATTCATACTCATACGAAGAATCTAATTCGTTATATAAATCAAGAGTTACTTTACCCATCCTTGTCCTGCCTTATACTGGCCTTTGTGGCGCTCTAGGCGCCCTCATAGTCAATTGAACTTAAGTATCTTGCTTCAGCGATTTTCCTGGCAGGGCAGCTCTCTTCTCCCGTTTTATGCTGGCTTGGTTTGTTAAAACGCCGGCACGTGGCACAGGTCGCAGGTTCTTCTAATTTTGAGCATTCTTTGATTGAATGCCCAGCGCAACCACAGTGCCCGCAGGTGGACGATGTTTCTCTGCAGAACTTCGCCGAGTGTC